ACTTATCGTCGGAAAATTATAATTTGTGATTAATAAGTATTATTTAGTATACTAAATATAGCACCTAATTATAACTCATTTAATGCATTGACCTGGGTTTTACTATTTATTAATTTATATATATTTATATATGTATGTATGTATGTATGTGTATATATATATATATATATATATATATAAATTATATAATAAAATATTTAATTATGTATTAATTATATATTTATTAATTATACAGAATGTTCCATTTTAATGCCGTAAATATTCTTGAAAAATGTGCAAAATACTGAAAAACATTTTAGACAAAAGTTGTTGGTATGCAAAGTATATGTTATTAAAAAAGTTATGTAATTCACAATTACATACAAAAAAGCACTCAGGAAGGTGCAAATAACGAAATTTAATTTCTGAAAAAAAAAAAACAATTTTTCAAGGTTTATATAAAAGTTATCGCCATTTTTTAATGAACTTATATTGGATTTTTTTTTTACATAATATGATTCCTCTAATTATAGATCATTGGAGCCCAGTCCTCTTCTTTAATCTATATATAATATATATTTACCTTATAATTTTATAAAAGTAACTTGGATCATTATTTGCTTCTAGAACATTTTTTTTTTTACGAAAAAGAGGAAAACATATACTTAGGTCATATTAGTTCTTATTACATGCTCTAAATACTACTTTTTCTGAAATCTTCACTGCACTCATGTAAATATTTGCAAATGTCTCGTAATTTTTTTTAAGTTCAGAGAAATGGTTTTTCTTTTAAAACTATCAATTTTCAATTTTAGGCTTATATTATCAGCAAAAAATTAGAAAAATATTACGATATTTAAATAGATCATATAAAGTCTGGTTACCTTATATCAATTTCACACACGCACATCCAAGGAGAGTACGAGTTTTAAAAATTTTATAAACAATAATAATTCCACTTGCTCAAAGTTGTGTGTGTGTGTGTGTGTGTGTGTGTGTGTGTGTGTGTATGTGTGTTGTGTATGAAATTGCAAAGTTAAAAAGTATTAAATAATGCTGTTCGCAAGAAGTTTCCCACACGAATCAATGACTAAACTACGAAGAGCCGCACACGAGGCATAACGTATAACTAGCTATCGACACCGGTAAATCTTTAAGAGAAGACGATTTTAAGAGTCTGATTCGATGATTTATCTCGAGATCATTTAGATTTTTATTATCTGATAAGTATAATTTTATCGATAAGCAAATTTAGTACACAAACTAAAAGCAAATATCTACGTGCGAAATTACAATATATTAATTCTAACAGTGTTTCTTTACACACTTCAGACTGTTCATAATAAATAACGATATACTTTGTACTTCAAAATAATAATTTTATAAATATTTGGATAAGTTGATGATAAAACAGACAAGGAAATACAAGAATTTAAAAAAAATTCACTTAGAAGGAAAAGTATTAAAACATTTTAAATTATTATGAATTGAAAAACTTAAATATTTACGAAAGCTATAGCATCTGCACATAACATTTGTAGAAATCCTTTAATGTTGCTTGATAATGTCCGAGAAAGCTTAAGATTGAAATTACGTTATATAAAATACATATTTTTATCAAGTATGCAGTAAACAATTAAAATATTTGCATTTACAATAATAAAATCAGAAATGTATAAAGATGCTGCTTATTACTGAAGTTATAGAACTAAAATAATTCGAAAAAATCTCAATATGCTCGATAAAATTAATATAATAAAATTACCCTTTGGTATGCTCTTTAAATTATATGCATAGGGAATTCGCTTAAGTTAAATTATAAAATCGAATTAAATTGTAAAACTAATTTTCCTCGAAAACCGCGGATGAACTCTCACAACAATATTCGTATAAATTGCAAAAGTGACTCTGTAGGAAAATCGATAAAAGTTTCTTTTTAACAAGCCAGGACAACATAACAATGGTATATTCGTAGACTTACGAGAGTACTAATTCCGAGTGCAAACACGCGACAACTGTTACTCAACTTTTCTGTTAGCTTCTGTAATCTACCAGTATAGATATGGCAATCTTATCCCACTCAATTTAAACGTAGAATATGATATTTGACAACGACGAATTAATCATAACTTGAAATATATTTTTTTTTATCCAAAAATTAAAAATACCTTTTCAAAAAGGACTTCTGATAACAAGATAAAAAATATTTTTAGTGTACGTAATCTTACCACAACTTTACACAAAAAACAATATTAAAACTGGATTAATAATTTCGATTTTTCTTCTTCAAACTAAATAAGATTGACTTGCAGGCAAAAGTAACGCATGCAAATTTAAGTCTACATATTCTTAGAACAAATCTTTATCTGATATTACAACGCACGATGCTGCTGCCACAACATTTGGCACGAAACCAAGATCATTTTATTCTAGATTTGAGAATTTTCCATTTAAAATATTCCTCTGTTAACAATAAATATAAATCTTATTTTATGATAGATAAAAGAGTATATATATATATATATATTGGATCTGGAAATCTTTTCTATAGATGTAGCAATAAACTATGTATTAATATATTGAATTTATCATTTATCAACATCATGACATTAAGCATTAAAAATTTACGTTGCAACAATTTACGTCATCGAGTATTATGCACAGTTATTTTTATATCGTCTTATCATTTCGTTTATCATTTCTCCATTTTCTTATTACTATAAAAAAAAGCATCTTTGATAGACATTATACATTATTCTACAGTTTGTAAGCTATATAGACTATCTTTCATTCTCTTATCAAAGTTAATAAAAATTATATTTAAATGAGATCATATATATGGAGTTCTGAGTTTTTGTAATGTTTAATGACAAACATACAGCACGAGTTGTGATGAGATGTGACGTGCTTCATACTACACAACTATAATTTCGAAGCAACTTGTACTATATATTTTTCAGCTGTACGTCAAGGACACAAAAAGTTCATGAACGAATAGCGACGGTCGATTAGCACGTGATGAATTCATTATTTCACATCGTTGAAAGTAGCTTACTTAGTGTCTATTAGAACGCCGGCATGTCATTAAGACTAAAAAGTGGTTAGATCGATTTGTTGTTTGACTGTAGTCAAGGCCGTTATGAACTTGATATGTCAATCCAAGACCGATAAACATCATTTGTAGATGAATTTTTCAATTTCAACGGTGAAACAAGGCTAGTACATGCTTTTGTATATAGTATGTGTGTTGATATATGTGCTGTATGTTCCATTATCTTATTACGTAGATACAGTTCTATATTGGAAGAGAATTAAGCCCCAGCCAATAGACTGAAAACACTTTAAAGTATCTATTTCTAACTTCCTCCGTCTTCTCACGTATGTGAAATCGAATATCAAGAACGTGCACTAGGATGCTAATGCCTGAGGGATGTCGACTGTGCAATATCAGTCAATATCGATCAATATCGATATGTTTGTTGCGTTGTTACGTTTCCTAAGCAGATGTACGGCAATCTGCATAAGCTATGAACAAGAAGCCTCGTATTTAATCGAGATAATCCATTTCATACGGCTCGTATTGCTGTAATGGGCACAACATGCAATATCAAAGATAGAACATCTCGCTTGAAAAGCACGGCTATTCGCGCTTTCATAATTATCTTCTTATTGCGAAACGGACAGATCACACGTTAATCTTTATTCAAAATAAACAAGAGATAAAAATTTAATTCGTTCCATAAAAATATTTAATCTGTAATAAACGTACTAAAATTAATCCGGACATTATCTCGCTTTTTTTACTGCCCACTCGATTCTATCTGAAACTCGATGCCACGTAAGATAACAAAAAGATACGATAATCACTGATAATTTATCTTATTTGTATTGAAAAAGTCTGCATTAATCACATGGTTAATTGTAACTTTAGTTGAAAATGAACAAATCAGAATTTTTTGATAAACCTATTAAAAATAATGATATGAAGTGGCTTTGAAATTAAATCCAATTAATTGAATAAGGAGCATATAAGTTGATTATTATTTGCGAGTAATGTCTTCATAAATTTATTTAGATCGAAACAAT